CTAACGTCCGCTCTCCAGCCCTTCCTTTTCTCCGTGTATCTCCCCAAGTATCTACTCTTCCTCGTACCCGCCCTCCCTGTACCCACCCTTTCTCGTAATCCCCTTTCAAGTACCTGCCTTCCCCCGTGTACCCGCCTTCCCCCGTATCCGCAACACCCGCTCACGCGCACCCGACCCATACCCGCTCTCGATCTCACAATCACTCGCTCAGATTGCTTTGCCACTTCTTGCTCTCCGTGCGATGCCAGCTCTTTCCTAAGATCATCCCGTCTCGTTGACCTCTACCCACCCCACTTACGATATGGTTATGCCCTTACTCGTTTAAAAGACTAATCACGGACTGATGTATTGCAGTATGTGTACGCTTATCTTTGCACTTAATGACAATGTGATTGCTCTTGAAAAATAGCTCCGGAGGGGTTCCGCGTGTGCCGGCATGCGTATCCGGGCCCCGCTATCCACCGCGACGCCGCCCCGCCCCGTACGAGTCGCGTTTTCCGGTTGCATCCTGGGCCTTTCCCACAGGAGGTGACCCGTCGGATCCTGGTTTATTCGGTTCATTATCTTGACTCATGCGTGATAGGCAACCTGTACAGCGAGAAGAAGATGAGTGGTCGATTGGTATAGGGGGAGAGCGACGCGGCGTTCTTCTGAAGGCGCGTTTGTCTTTGACAGGCTCCGGTTGGAAGCGTCAGAGCGTCAGAGACTTTGGCTCTGACCGGAGACAAGCCGCGAGGCGCGTCGTCTCTTCCTCGCTGGAGGACTGAGCTGCCCCGTGTTGCTGCGAGTAGGAGCCTCCGCTCCATTCTCTCCACGGCCAAAAGGCTTGCGTTTCCGGATGTCGCCATCTTCTTCCAGGCGGAGCAGATCCAGGCGATGGAGAGGCGGGGTTTCAACGGTACCAGTCCTCCGCCCTTCAGCGATGTGCAGTTTCATGCGCTTCGTCCCCTACACATTGATTGGCCTGAGATCAAGTGGGCGCGCTCTAACGTCGTTTGTTTCCGGCCACCCGCTCCTGAGGCACTGCCGCACTGCAACGAGTGTGACCGTGCGTTCTATTGCTCTGCGGAGTGTCAACCGGTGTCCGGCGTTGACTACTTGTCCGCGAGATAACACGAATTCATCCGCGTACAGCGACTGGCGCAAGCGTCATAAGAAGATTTGCGCTCTCGCGACTATCCTTCAGGCGATGGGAGCGTCGCCGCCACCGTAGTCTTGCGATCTCCGTGCTATCCATTTACTGCCTTGTTGGACCTTGAATGTATTACATGCGTTTCCTCTGCATGTATATCCCAGCAAGCATAATCTAGTCTCTGGTCCCCTATCGTCCTTAACCGGTCCGTCGCTCGCAACACGTCTAAACCTCAAGTTGCATTCATGCTTCACGTCACGTCCTATCTACAACATCCTCAAATGCGCACACCCATGGCGCTACGGGAACTGAACGAGCGGCTGCCCGTCACGCTCCTTTTCTCTCTCGTCCCCACCAAAGTCGACCTTTTTCATTCAGTTTCATCGGGCTACGTGTCATCCGTGAGTGCGAGGTCGCGCCGTGTGCCATAACACTCACCGTTTTCCCTTCCGGACGCTGCCGCAGCTTCCTCCGCCTCCGGCCTCGACGCTCGTACGAGGTTTCACAAACTCACGCGAGGCGCTCTCCGCCTCCCCCCCATCATCAATACTGTCAATCTTCCTCGCAAGCGGCTTGAATGACACCTCGTTAGGTCCTAACCAGTCCATCTCCTGATCCCCAGCGTCCGCCGCCTTCTTGCCGTTCCTGTCTTTTCCCTCCTCGCTGTCCCCACCCTTTTCCTTCTCGCCATCGCCATCCTCGTCTGATTCAGTCTCGAGCACCTCGTCCACCACTACAGGCTCGTAAGTATCAGCCGAGTCCACTTCATCGGCAGGCTCGCCGCCTTCCTCATTCCCCCACTTGTTCGCTACCAGTCCGTGAGTTCTTATCGGCGCCTGATGTCTCGAGAACACGCTCACCGTTGATGATAGAAGCGTGGCGCATGATCTGCGCGCTAAAGTTTGACTCTACGCGCGGCTCCTTTTTGAAGTTGAGCGTACGCCCAGGCACGTCACAGACTCCTTTCGCGCTGCAGGTGGATCAGTATCTCGAAGGCCCGCATATCAGTTCACAACCACGCACCGGTACACTTTGTTCGGCCCCGCCGTGTACCACACACACGCTCCCGAGCACCTCCTCGCAACGTACGACGCAATCATCTGCAGCACCGGATTGAGATCTTCAATGAATCTGTAGATCAAGGTGAGTTCAGTATCCAGTACAGGCAACGCGGCGCGCACTGTTCGGCTTCTTCGGCAGTACTCGGTTCCTCAACAAAGTCCCGCTCCCACTCATCCAGGTCTCTCTCCCACTGATCCAGACGCCTATTCTGCATCTCCACCTGTACCATCTCACTCGACTGCCTGAGATTCTCGGCAGCGACATACGCGATGGCTGCATCGCGAGAAGGGACAGATGCCGCGGAGTTTCCCGGAACCGTCAAAAGCGCCGCCGCCACCTTCATGCGATCGTCGACCTGCGCGTCCATCTCTGGCGTCCAGAACTCGGACCTATAGAAGAGCTCGGACTCCGGGATCCGCGGTGGTGGGAGCGTCATCGCCCGGAACCATTCGGCTACGTCGAAGTTCACTTTCTTCTTGCGATTGCCAGTTGATTTCGTTCGCTCCTTCTGCCTGCTGATACTCGCTCTACTGACTTTTCCCTTAGATGAAGCCGCTCCAGATTGACGAGTGGACATGGCCCGAGGAGATGATACGCAGTAGAGTTGTGCAATGGTGGAACGGGTTTGGGTCCTATGGGTTCTTCGTCGCAGCGCGTACAAATTCGAGGAGAGGGACGTGAGAGATGGCCCCAACCGAAACCCCGTGTGTGCCTGCGTGCGTCAACGGGAGATGCCGTGTGAGAGGCGCCGACTTGACAGCTCTGGTGGGAGATCAAGGGCGGTGGTGATCACGGGCGGTGGTGGGAGGCACCGTGTGGCGACGCTATGAACCTATCGCTTTGCATTTTCTCTACAATAGATGCTTCGTTCAACCCCGCTTTCTCTATGGGCTCAAGACAATGTCGTCATCGTCGTCTTTGCGCATCTGCGCTTTTGCGATTGCTTCAGGGGCACATCGAGATATCCTGACGCCTGATGTACATCAGCGAGAACATCACGCGCGCTCTCTTACCTGCCAGCGTATACGATCGAGACCTGGGTCACCGGGTGAGATCTCTTGGTCCGGTCACGCAGCTATGGGTCGGTTCATCGCTTCGAGACAATTCAGCTACTGATTCTCTTGGACAGGATCTCTACTACAGTCCACAGGCTACCCTTCATTGTGCATTGACCCCAGCTGGTACGCAGTTTATGTTCTTCCCCCATCCTCCTAACGTCGACTGGCTTGTACTTCGCAGCTCGTGTACGCCGCCGTGATTGATTTGGGGCGCAGAGAGTGGGCGGGCGCGATATGATTATGCCGACACGCGCTTCGCAACGCGGCACAGTGGGTGCGCGTCGATGACCGAGAGGTGGGAATGCATCGGGTACGGTAGATATAGACGGAATGCATACGTAGATTACAAGATAAGTTGATTTGCGCGAGAACAATCTAGAGTATAGCAAGTGAGAGCGAGTGTGTGAACGGGAGTAGAGGTGGGTAAACGAGGCTGACAGTAGATGGCTTGTTAGTAGCAGCATGAGTGCTGCTACATGTCTCTTCAGTGGGTGAGGGCTGTATAATGCGCGGTTGGGTGCTCAACAGGCACGTACAGCCCGCCGCTGCCACATGAGGCATCAGCGCGAAGTCGTGGACGGAGAATGTTTTGGAAAGCCCAGGGAAAGTTCAAGTTTCCCTGGGCTTGTCGCGGCACGGGAAAAACGAGGAGAATCAATGATTCTCCTGTCGGTGACACACGCCTACGACAAGAGATTCTCCTCGCCGTTTACTGAGCAGAAGGATGTGCCAGGAGAATCAAATGTTTCCCGGAGAGGGAAACCGGTGGGACCGGGGGGATGCCTTCGTTCTGCCCTCAGGAGAACATGTGATTCTCCTCGCATTTTCCTCGCCACAAAACAAGGAGGGGAACATGTTATTCTGGTCGCGCCACCGGTTCCGACGGAACAACATGTTTTCCTTGCCTTTCACGGTACGCGAAACGCCCAGGGAAACCAGAACATTCCCTGGGCTTTACGACTCATTCTCCTCTCCGGAAAACACGCCGACGCCTTCTGTGGCCTCGCCACGGAGTCCATTCTCAAATAATGGAGCGAATCTGATTAAATAAACAAGTTGAGCTCGTTTACTCGAATTTCTTTCTCCTGTTTCACTTATTTAACCTCGCACGCGAGTTCGCGTTCTTTCACTTCTCCGACGGTATCTACGGCTGCAGCGTGACTGGTCTCAAACTTCAAATACGTCTCCACTAACGCACACGCCAGACCCACGCGTATCCCTCCCTGTAGGTTAGCCGGTACGAGCATTATCGGAGCATGCGCCCTCGCTAGGATAACGTACACCGCCAGTTTCTGCTCCAGTCCCCCGCGCGAAGGCCGACCTCGGGAAGCAATTCGGCCACTCACCTTCGTCGTCCTCATTCTGACCCTCTTCCTTCTCACTTGCGACCGCGTCTTCGAATACCACTGGCAACTCGTGAATAGCGTCTGCGCCTGGCCCACCTGCGGGGATTTTTGTGATGGAACAATCCCATCTGTGCGCTACGCGGAGATGAGTCTTCACGCTTATGCCGCGAACGCGTAGAGGGGAGAGATGCCCCGGCGAACCATCGTTTATGTCTGATTGGGCCATGATCTCTGCCATCGCGTTCGAATACATGGGGGGCTTCGCCTCGCTGAACGCAGCGGTGACAAATCCGAGAACACCGCAAACGCCTTCCGCTCTGGAAAGGGTACACGCCTTTTGGCCCGGCGGTATGCCACACGCATTTACCGGAGCACCTTTGCGCGACATGAAACGTCGTCGTTTTTAAAGTTACATTTGCCTCTGCGGCGAATCTCTTTGACGGTAAGCAATCGCTTCCAGTAAAGGGTATGATTTAACGCAACGCGCACCCGCCCGGAACATCCTCTCCCGGCTGTATAACTCTGCCTCATATATTGGCTCCACCCTCTCGCCCATAATACGCTTGAAATGCTCATTAGACGTTCGTATTCCGTCGGTGGCGACTAGCGCCGTCATCTCCTCGCGAGAAGGCGCGCGCTTCTCCGCATCCGCAGTCACCCCATCCCCAGGCTGCGTAAGCTTCTCTACGCGTCCTCCATACCCTCCGTCCAAGATTCAGACTTTGAAAGAACGTACGGCGCGGTGAGGCGCGCGGGCGGGGGACGGGGGGCGCGATAAGCTCTGAAGCCAGCCCGGCGCGTCCCGCGCGGGCGCGCCTCCCCTGGCTACAGCGCCGCGGCGCTTCCGATACTCTTCCCAAAGAACCTGCCCCACGATCTACATACCAGCATTCAGAGTGCAAATATTGCTATTGGCTATGTAAAAAACTCACTCTATAAACTTGGAGTATCATCGCGTGTCGTCTAGAGAACTTCGAAAGGCGGGACGGCGGCTTTCCCTTCTGCCGCCTCTTCGCCCGGTCGCCGCACGTTGGGCCGTATGTCGCTGCCGAGGACAAGGATGGATTTTGCTTCCAGATTCAACGCCATTACTCCCTCCTGGGACCATTTCCTAAAGGGTTGTTGCCATCCGTATACGCCCTGTACCTTGCCAACGGCCTTCCGCGTCACCGCCCTCGCCTTCGTCTTGTCGTTGTCTCGCCTCGCGTGCTCGTACGCGGTCGAGAATGACAGCACAGTTGCCACTTGATGAGCGGCTTCGGTACAAGCTCCGATCTCAGGCGATCTTGTCGCCGACGTATCCTGCGTTTCGCTCCTCAGGATGCTCGCTCTGCCTGCGTGGCCCCCTACCTCCGGCTGAAGCGCAGTCTCAGTGTGACCCTCCCAGCATACACTGCCTGACATGGAGAGTAAAGAGCTCGAGGTCGTCTGTGCGGATTATAGAGGGGATCACCAGAGTACAGCCGTTGTGACGTTCACGGTGGATGGCGAGAAAGAATATTAGGAAAGGCGGCGGGTCTCCAGTGATTCCACGACTTGCCATCGGACGGATGACCGGCCTGTTCACGAGTTTCTGGTAGGGCGCTTATTCGGTTCCAATCAGACTTAATCACGCTCGCCGTGACCGCGACCGTATCCTTTGGTAACGCCACTCTCAGACGGGTTAAAGGCGGGGTTGCGATACCTGAGCGGGCGCTCGCCGAGCAACCTCTCCCTCACCCCACATGCGCGACCGCGCGAGCGAATACCTTGTCCCAAACACTCAGATGCTATATGACATCTACTGCTGCTTCGGGCTTTCATCTGCAGAGTTCTCTCCGTACGAGTTAGAACGGCCCGCCCGCCCGTGTGTCTCGCTAGTTCAGAGTGCCGTCGCAGGGCAGGAACTCGTCAGATCTGCATCGCAGCACCGGTACGGGGTCTTGTCTATGACAGTGTTTTAGCAATTCTTACGATAATGAAGCAAATGTTGCGGCGGTGGAGGTTCGGCGGACTACGAGTCCTGGCGCGCGGCGGTGCGTTATATCATAATTCAGAACGAGCCGCATAATCTCAATTTCGCGAGATAGGGTATACATACTAGAGCCACGAGGCTTGCGTCGGTCTCATCCACCACCAATAACCGGTCCCATACTGTCCCCACCGCTGCTGTCCGCCTCTGGGTCCCAGGGCGCTTCATAGATCCGACCGTCTTCCTCGTTCGGGGGTCTAGCGCACGCCCCATTAAATTACCTGGTAGGCGGAAGTCTGCGTGACGGGCACCGCAGTCATAAGCGTATAGGGCGTGGGGTGTCGATGGGTTGGTGATGAAGTTGAGGAGTGTGTTCAAGTGGTGTCAGCGAGAACAGCACCCTCGTCGTAAGTACGCGAATGCAAAGCCGCCGCCAAGCGCCCCAGGCCATCTACGTCGCCGACTAGACGCCAAGTATACGTTACAACTTCGCGTACTTCAGTAAAGAGAAAGAGATCCTCGGGTAAAGACATGATTCTCTAAGAATGAACGAAGAAGCAAGCCGCTGGGGTCGCCGAAGTCAGCAATAAATACTTTGAAGCTGTGGGATCGGTCACGGTACATGCGACGAGTAAAATTTTCAGGTACATGAGTCGCGGCGTCCATAAGAAGGAATAGTCGTAGCGAAGATTGCTTGACGACCTAGATTGGCGCTGGAAGGCGTACATAACTCCTGGCAAGACTGCGCCTCTGTCATGCCCCTCCTATCCCTCCCCCACGAGCTCCTAGTTTCAGTCCTGAAGTCGGACTTGGATAGTCTTCAGCCGTCCCGAACCGGGCTCCTGCTACCAGCGGACAGATTAGCTGGCTGTCAAGGACGCTCAGGCAAGGAGTCTTACCCGGTATGCTTGACGGCAACCTCCTCGGATAGACGGATTCTCAGCCTACAGGCGTCCATTTGTTCGGACGATCGCCAAGGACGCCTTCCTCGGATCTTTCAGCTGTGCCATATTTCCACCTTGTTACGGGCCCTAGTCATGTCCACGCCCTCGCTGTGGGCAAGCCAAGCGGCATGCTGGCCAGCGCAGCACGCGCTCGTGCTCGAACGTGCTGGAAACCATGCACTTTCATTCTCAAGCTTGGAGGGTCTATGCGCTTGCGCGTATAATGACATCAAGAGTTCTCTGCATAGAGCGGAAGTCATCGCGCTTGCGTTGCCGTCGACATATGTTCGAGTAGACGGCGCTCACCTAAGGACGTCTGATCTCTTCAGCAGGCGGATTTCTGCGACTAGTTGCCTTGTAGACCTGCAGGTTCGTTTTGATGTGAACCCGCGAACTTCGCAGCAAATCGCCATGTTGCCCATAGTGATCCCCACCTTACGACGGGCACGCTTACAAAACGCGGAATTTATTCCGATCAGTGATGGATTACTGGAGCTCCATTTCGCAACTGAACCCGGCTGCACGAAGCTACCGTGGCGCTCCTTGCTGTTGGCGTTGCATGCTACGCCCTGTCTCCGTGTTCTCGTCCTGCAGAACGCACTCAGTCGGTACGATACGCCTTGGGAAATAGAGACGGATACGATTGATAGGGCGCCGCTGATGGCGTTAGAGCATCTGACATGCTCCGGTCACCGAGGACTGGCGCGTGCGCTTCTGTACTGGATAGACGCGCCGTCGATACACGATCTCCATATTGACGCTGACTTCGACATGGGCGCTACGTTGGATCCATTCGAACACTTTCCCTCACAGCTAGCTGCGGAGCTATGGGTGTTGCGGAATTCAGCGCAGACACGACTCATGATGGAGTACGCACGCGCTCGAGCCAACGCGGAAGACGCAGGTCAATCCTTCACGGACGAAGTGCCGGATTCTGTCCCAGTCCCCCCGCTGGAGTATCTTGCGCTGAGTATCATACTCGATAGCGAGGTCGAAGATTCGAGATCGGCCTGGCCGCAGCTTATCACCGTAGCGGCAGCAAAAGACGCGGAAGGCGCACTGCGTGGCGTATCGACGCATAACGACTTTGATGGTCCGGGGCAAAGCTCCCCAAGACGCACCTTCACCATGCGAAATAGCTTTGCCGCCTTCCCTAGCGACGCAATGGCCGCCTTTCGCGCGCGGCTGCGTAGAGACCGGGAGCCTTGTGCTGTCAACTCAGTCGTTTCTCTACTGCTTACTGCGTTCCTTGCCCAAGCAGGTGAAGAAGACGTCATTTCTCTGGCGTTTGCGAAAGGATCTTGGTTACCCACCGCCGCGCAAGAGTGGTCGGATTTGCTGTTCGAGCTCCCCGCACTGCGCACCTTGGGCCTGTGGGCTCCTGCTGCTCCAGAAGTTCTCATATCCCTAGCTGAAAGCCTGTATCGGGACGGACGGGAGTTGAGTGTCCGGGTAATCGCGGTCAGAGAAACACAGGCAGCCACCGACGAGGTTATTGATCTTTTACCTCGGGCCATCGGTTGAACAGCTACGTACCCGTCGCTGGTAGACTTGTCGCGCGGAACGCCCATATAATTCGCACAACCCGGACTTGCACTATGCGGCATGGTCTAGTCACGGCGTTATCTCGCCCCTTCAACGGTCGCGCACGAGTCACGACACTCTCAATCCAACTAGCATCAATTTGAGAAGATATACATCGCATGCATGGCTGCCAGCCTATTGTGAGATGTCAATGCCTAGATGACACTAGCCCGGGTGTCGATTGACGGCGATACCGGTCTGACTATACGTCCGACGTCATTGCATATCTTGTGGTTCTTCCTGGTCGCTGCTACGAATCAACCATGGCCACGGGGAATGACCCTCCCATCTGTGTCCCGAGATCAGCAGGTGGTCTTCGTATTGAAACAAATCGATAAATGTGTTCACTCAGAGGGGACGCGAGGACGGGGTCACCCTCCGCGAGTTCTCCGTCTTCCTGTGCGCTGACCCGCCGATGCATCATAAAACCACGGCGCGACGCCGATAGAGGTTGTGTGACAAGCATCGTTCGCTCGGGTTCCGCATTGAACCGTAAGTGCAAAGGTGCCCGCCGAGACATTGGTTGAAACGAGGGGTATAAGTCGGCTACTGAATGCGCGGTTGAGGTCGTCGGGTCCCGCGAGGTGGCCGGTGGCGCTACGATCTGAGGCGTATAGTCCTGTTCCACGCCGGTGCGCACCCGGCTGCCCTGCACAATCCGCGCGAGTAATGGCAGTATCTCTTCACCGGATGCGGCACTTTCAAGACTCTTGGTATACCTGTCAACCTCATCCGCGGCTCGGCGGGATGCGTCATCTGCGTCTGAGAAAGCTTCATATACACTGTCCAGAGTCCGCTGCAGACTCGATAACGTCGTAGTAAGTGCGACGAGCTTCGGATCTTGCGTTTCCTGTCCATGATCGATAGGCGCACCGACAGGTGAAGCGGTACCCTCCGTGTGCGAGAGCCCCAGAGCGCCTCCTGACCCTAAACTTGATGCGTTGAGACGCACGGGTACATTGCCTGAAGGCAGACTATTGAGTGTGTCCAATGCGTCCATGCGCGAGCAAATACATACGGATAAAGGGTGTGTTGTCCGAATTCGCCACCGCGCGCGATTCTTTCGTATGGCCCATGTACGTCAGCAACGAGTCTCAAGGGGGCGTAGGACGCGACGAACCACGGGGCACTACCGGATTCACAGTTCCTATCAATCCACAGTCAGTTGCGAGCGTTAGGCGTAGTGACGGTTCTTACCGTTGTCGTGAGTATATCTCAAAGAAGGCGCGACCACTCCCGCAGTGTGCGCTGCAGCAGGCTGTGTGTCATTCGTGGGGACGACGCCTCTCGTTCGAGGATCTAGTCCACGCGACGCATATCCTGGACCCGAGCATGCGGTCGGGTCGTGGGTATCCCGGGTATCGGCGCCGTAAGTCCGCGTGTTCGCCTCGTTCCGGTGGTGCTCAAGGTTCACTTGCCAGGGCTGAACATCGGAGCCTACAGCTCAGTCGAATTGGCTTAGCAGATAGGAGAAGGGTTCGCAGAAGACGTACCGGCTGACATCCACCACCTTGCCTCCCCCAGAGGATGACAAGGATCCCACGGATCCTCTGCAACAACATACTTCTCCGGCAGGCTTAAAATCGCTCCTTCGAAGAGACGACCCGCGTCGTCCACATAATTCTGCATGCTCATAGCCTCACGGACTCGGCTTTGAAGAAGATCGTAGCTGCCGACCTCAGTCGACGTAAGCGATCTACATTCATCGTAGAGTGCCTACTTGGTAATCACCGAATTAAACTTTGACTAGATGGAGTTATTGCTTACTACTGACCATTTCGTGCGATAGCAGGCTTGCGTACCGCGCTACTTGTAGAGTACGACGGCGAGACGGCTGGGATCGACGGTGCCTTCGGAAAAGCTCGAACAACATCGCGAATATTGCCCCTAGACGATGGCCATACAGCTGGGATGCTGATATGGACGGCGTGGCAGCCAGGAATGTCTCGTTCAGTTCACGGATTTCCTGGAGGCTGAGTGGTGGAGACATGTCGCTGGCTACTGTGCGCGGTACGACTGTCGAGGTCATCTCTGTCATGACAGCGAGAAGAGAGTCAGAGATCAGCGGAACAGATGATTCGAGTGCTCCCGGGTTTTGCCGAAATGTTGGTTGTGGCTTGCGTGAGGGTAGGTCTTAGACAACTGAGGATTTGTGGTTGATGAAGACGCTACGGCAGAACGGACGATGCGTGAGACTTCGGCAGCTTTCCGAGCTGACTAGCGGACTGCCCGTGTGGCGGGGATCGGGAGATTCCCGGCT